GGCAGGAAACACCTGTTGTTACGGAGGCGGACTCCTTCGCTCAGCTATGCCTCGAAACTTTGTGGGTGCCTTTTGACGACATGCTTCAGTTGACCAGGCTCCTTCCCATGAAGCCAGCGGCGAGAGTTCTTTCTGAGACAGTTGCAGGTCCGGAGGAGCCCATGACCATGTGCTTTGGAGCTTATATCTTTGGAGCGCAAGCAGGACTGCACAATACAACGCGCGCACATATTTGGGTGGTCAGACTCTTGTGCAGCATTGTTCGGTCTACATGCGAGGATGTGCTTTTTACGAATGTCTTTCTGAACCTCAACGTCCCCAGTGCCCCGCACAAAGACTCCAATAACCACTGCTGCATCAACAATGCGTTGATCCCGCTTTCGCATTGGACTGGAGGAGAATTATGGGTTGCAAGTCCTAGAGGACAAACGATACTGGAACCGGGATCTGAGCCCGGTCATGTGCATGCAATCCTGCCACCGTGCCTTCAGTTCGACGCAAGGAAGCTTCATGCAGTTTTGCCGTGGGACGGAGACAGATACTTGCTGGGCAGCTTCCACATTCGTGACGACTGGAGACTAACGTCAGAGGACATTTCATTCCTTGAGTGCCAGGGCTTTAAGCTATGTAGCCGCACTCGTGCCACCAAGGATCCGTATCAGCTGACATGAGATCAAAATGCAGAGTCTCTGTCAAGCGCTTCAACTCACGCAGCTCCGCTACCAGCGCCCAACCCGCCGCAGGTACTTTCTGAGCTGTACAGTGCTCGACTGTTAACGCTTTTGCCCATCGTGTGGCATTGCGCTGCTCCTGGGGGCTGTCGGCCCGGGCGCTTTATCACATGATTTATCATTCCGGTCAGGTGTTAAAACACATGACTCTTCTTGCATGCTTAAAGCATTCAAGATAGCCGATGCTGTCCAAGAAGATGGCCGGCTCTAGCCCAAGGAGGCTACGCAAGGACGAGTTGACTCGTTCGCGCTTGGAGAGAGAGAGCAGCAGCAGCAGCAGCAGCAGCAGCCGCGGCAGCAGCAGCAGCAGCAGCAGCAGCAGGAGCAGTGGCAGTGGCCGTAGCCGTATCCGTAGCGGCAGCGACAGTGGCAGCGGGAGCGGTAGGTGGTAGAGTAGGAGTAGGAGTGGGAGTGGGAGTGGGAGTAGAAGTAGGGGTAGGGGTAGCGGGAGGGGCAGGGGGAGTAGGAGTAGTAGGAGGAGTAGGAGTAGGGGGAGAATGAGGAGTAGGAGGAGGAGCAGGAGGAGCAGGAGGAGTAGGCGGAGTGGAGGAGTAGGAGCAGCAGGAGGAGGAGGAGGAGGAAGAGGAGGAGCAGTAGTAGTAGTAGTAGTAGTAGTAGTAGTAGCAGTAGCAGTAGTAGTAGTAGTAGTAGTAGTTGTAATAGTAGTGGCATGTGGTTGTCTCAGTCCCAGTCCCCGTAGCCTGCGGCCGGTAGCCAGTAGAGCAACAGCAGCCAGCAGCATGTAGTACCAGGTAGTACTATTGTTGAATAGTAGTACTATGTAGTACTAAGTAGTGCCAAGTGGAATCGTACTATGTAAGTAGTAGTGAAGAGAAGTGTAATTAGTAGTAAGTCGTCGGAACAGCACCTCCCTTTTTCAGTACCGTAGCGGAAGCCATGAATGGTGGTAGGAATAGGAAAAACGCAAATACCAACGCGATACTGTGAAGTTATGTGAAGTTAACAAGCGGCAGGAATCGTCTGTGGCCCGCCAGGTATTTGCCCTTTGTGGTGCCACTCGTGTTGCGAACTCAAGCCCAGATACATTGTTGTAGATTTAGCAGTTGGCTTTTTGCATGGAACGAGCAGCTTCGCTTCCTTCGCTCAGCTTTTTCATCGACGTGTTGGTCGAGTGGCGCTTCATTGCTTTCTTTGGGCTGGCTGCGGTCCCAGCGGGTTCGCTACTGGCAGGGCTCCGGCTTCCTGCATCCTTAAGCATTTAAGCTTCCGGGGCGATCCCGCCTTCATTAACGGCATAAGTAGAAGGGTATCTTCGTGACGGGAAGGCCACTTCAGCCGTCGTGACGCTGCTGAACGAGGCATGGATCGGCTGATCCTGCAAGTTTACATTGGCAGCTTCTCCCATCACATCTCGCAGGCGGTGTTCAAGCCAATCCTCAAGCAGCCTCGCCCAGAAGGGTCTGCGAATCGCAAGCCTGCCGCCGAGTTCCTGTCCTGAGCCTCTGAGATGCCATGTGCTGCCTACACAAGCCAAGGTTCAATCCAGACAAAGGAAGGTGGGAGATGAAGCCTGGCATGCCTTCTGGACATGTCGCAAATGCTGCCACGACGATGGCCAGAAGCTGAACAGAGATAAAGGATTTGGATGCCAATAAGCTCCGATCAGCTGATCAACTGAGGTCTGGTGTTTGCTAGAGGCGAGGACCAGACCGCAGTACCTTGTAACGTGGCACAGCATGGCATGAGGGGTCAGCAACGACAGGTGGCTTTGCGAGGCTCCGGTTGCCAAATTCCGCATTGCTTCGTGCGAGATGTGGTGCCCAATCTCCTTGTGATTGCGATGGGGGACTATGATCAGGCCCAGGGTTCGACGACCAGCCTTTCCTGACAACGAAGATCCTTTTGCTGATCTTAGTTTGCATGGGACCCGTCGGACTCTGAGATGCAAGTCGAGTCGAGCCCGTGCTCCTCTGAGCGTCTCAGGTTCCCTGGGCCAGGATTTACAACCAGGATCACAGCGAGGGGCCCAGTGACAGTGAGGCCGTCGTCGAAGCGGAGCAGGGCTTCTCATGCCAGGCCTGGCCCAGTGCACAGTGGCAGGCATCATGGGCGTGGTGGCAGGCTGCAGAAGCTTCGGCTTTGGCTTTGGCATGCTTTGGACTGTTTGTGTTGGCAAGGTGTGACTGCCTACTGGGTCCGAGTGACCTACTTTCCATTGGGTCCAGGGCAGGCCTGGATTTCGGCAGCCCTGGTCGGCCCTAGTCCACGCAAATGCATGGATGCACACTGCAAGGAGTGGTGCTACAAGAAGCTGTGCTTGCTGGGCGGGACTTCTGTCTTAAGCTTGCGTTGTGTTCCACGGCGCTGGCCGTGCCTGTGGGTGCCCCGTTGCTACAGCTGCAGGAAGCCCTGGGACCCTTTCTTGGATGAGCCCAGTCTGGATGGTGGCGAGCTGGTCGCAACCGCTGCTGTTGTCACCACCACCGTCGCACAGGTTCCTCGCTTGCGTGCTTGCGTGCGTGCGTGCGTGCGTGCGTGCTTGCTGACACGCAGACACTGCACTGCGGTCAGTGCTGGCCAGGATGCACGCTAGGATGTGGCCTTGTTCTTGTTTCCCAGAGCGTGTCAGGTCGCGCTGAAGGACCGCCTCTCGGAAGCGAGGGCAAAGCCCGTCTTGTTTTCAGCGAAAGTCAAACACCGTGCTGGCGCCAGGAAGCCGCCAAAGCTGCAGCAACCCACATCACGAGTGCGCTGAGTCTGCGGCTAAAGACTGCTTGATGTTTCCACCAGAGCGATTGAGAGTAAAGAAGCTTTGGGTTTCTGCCCTCGGTTTCACTGGCTCTTTCTCTGCGAGGCAACAAGGCTGCAGACCGTCCTGTGGATCTCCCGACAGATGACTCCAAGGACAGCAGGGCAAGCGGTTGTGACCTATTCCCCCATGGCCCTTTCCAGTGCAGAGGGACTGTGCTGTGGTAGTTTCCACGCCGCAGCTGAAATGAGCAAGTGACCTGCTGATGTGGCGGGCGATGGGAGGTAAATCCTCGGTCTTGAAGATGTGGCCAGTGCGGATGGGTCTGTCGCGCCCGCAAGCAGGAGTTTGCCGATGCGGACGAGGCAAAAGCAGAAGCGAAGGCAAGACAGCTCCAAACATCCGTATGCACTTTCTCCATAGCACAGTGACTTTCCGCGACAACGATTTACCGAAAAGGTACTTCCTGGAAAGGGGTCTTGACGTGATTCCGCAGCATTCCGGAGGCAAGCGACCGGCTTCTGCGCCGCCTCCACCTGCGTGGTTCTGCCTAGCCAGTGCCGAGCTCAATTTCCAGGCCCTTCGCCTCGAAAGGTATCCGAGTCAGCTAGAGCTTGCTCAAGGTTTGCGCATGGCTGCTGAGCATCGCGGTTGATCATTCTGGAGGGAACAGATTTCGCAACGAAGACGTTGTGAAATGTTGGCCCTCCGGATCCTGTCGAGGCGGCAGAACACGTGTTTGCACGTGGATGGCCCTCCATGGTAGTCAAGTACTCCTCAAAAACTTAGAGGTGCCGCCGTTCTCATCAGGAGGGCTGCCACGAAAGCTAAATTCAAAGTTTCTTGCGCTGGTTCGTTTTCGATCCAAAGGGCATCGGCACGAACGGACCGGCAGCTGCAACAAGAAAGGGCACTCATCACTCGCAAAAGTTAGGGTTGCTTCACATCGTCCTTCTCTCCACTTCTCTGCCAAATGTTAGCAGTCCTCCCCGGCAAAAAGAGATGAGGCGTGTGCACATGGAGTTGTTTGTCCGCAGCTCAAGACATTCAAAGATCTCGAAACTGCATCCCTGTAGACTGTATACTGCTCTGCACGAACAGACAACCTTTCGGATCACGAGAAGTCCAGGCAGGCCAGTTTCAGCACTATGTTTCGCAGCCGAAGGCTGTCGACGAAGCTTCTCAAGCCCCAGGGCAAATCACTGATTCTTCACGAGTGCCACTGAAAGTCTTCACACCTGCATGCTTACAACACTTGGCTATGGGCATCGGAGTGCGATGGCGACGCCGACACACAGCAAGTTCCCACACTCAGCGCGGATTCGCAGTCATGGAGTCATGCAAACCAGACGAGGTTCAATTGCTGGAAGAGCAAGAAGCCCCATACTTCTGCTTGGGCTCTACAGCAGGGTTAGTCATATTTCATTGCTTCATCAGTGTGCCAAGCAGCCTGTCAAAGGTTCTTCCCCCAACCTAGACAATGAACCAGACACGGGGTTTGGCAAGCCAAAGCCAAGAAGTTGTTGAAAGAAACCATGTGAGAGCGAAGCTGCAGCGCCATGCTGCTGGAAGAGGCTCCAGTGGCCGTCGACTCGTTCAGTCATGAGCCTGGAGTGACCTTCTTTTGCAGCCATGCTCACGACGACCACCTGAAAGGGCTGAGCGGATCTTGGCGCCGTGGCCCCATCTATACATCTCACGTCACGGCACGATTACTGCGTCGGCGCTGGCCGCCGCTAGAGCCGTTTCTTAAGCCGCTGGAGATTGGGCCGGTGCATCGCATTCTCTTGGGCAGTGCCGGAGGCCTCGAGATCGAAGTGTGCTTGGTAGACGCCAACCACGTGCCAGGTTCTGTGATGTTCATATTTTCAGGATATTTTGGCACACTACTATACACTGGCGATTTCCGCTTTCATGACGATCATGTGCATCTGAGCGTTCTTCCCCTTCTCGCCCGACCCAATGCCGAACTCTCGCGGATTTTCCTGGACAACACATTTTGCCATCCTCAGTTCACGCACGCTCCGCGGGCAGAAGTCTGCAAGGCAATCACAAAGCGCATAATCAGCAAGTGGCCCTGCATAGCTTTCGTGGTTGTTTACAAAATGGGTAAAGAGTCGCTGCTGGCTCATTTGGCAAGGCGCCTGAAGACAGTCGTCCTGCTTCCCAAAGAGCGAATGCTGGTGGCAAAGGATCTCGGGCTGCATGGAAGTATACAGGAGCAACCCTGCAATCCGCAGAGCGCTCCGGCAGAGGAGCTTCGGCGTCGCAGCCTGCAGGGCTGCATCTGGGCTGTCTCGCGCAGGAATCTTCGAAAAAGTCTCTGGCAAGCTACTGAATCAGGAGCTGCCGCGCACGCCATCCATCCATCTGGCTGGGCCGAGCTATCACGGAATCAACATGTGCCTTGCTACGAGGATTCCCATACGGTCAGTGGGCAGAGCGTTCCGGTATTTGTCAGTGATGATGGGGTTTCACACTATCCTTATTCAGACCACTGCTCCTACCTTGAGCTGGTCCAATTTCTTTCGTGTTTGCCATCCGCTCCAGTGACCTTCATCGGACCACTGCCAAAGCCTGGACCGTTCGGGTACGATGGAGAGGTGGGTTTGCACAGGCTCCTGCACGAGGCTGGGGTGCCTTCCATCAAGTACTACCAGCAAGGCCGGTCTGGGAAGGCGCGGTCCGAACACATGTCCACACGAATCTCTCTTGTCCCACTTTGTGTAGTGATTTTTTTGTTTCTCTTGGTGTTTGACAGGTTGATAGAAAGAGGGCGGCAGCGCGGACTCGCACAAAGCAAGCTTTTGTATACACCTCTGCCGGCTCGGAGCACTGACCCCTCTTGTCATGTCTTGTCTCTACATCGCATGCCAACAGGCGCCAGATGGCCCAGATTGCTCCAACGACATCTGAGCTGGCTGCGAACCCGGTGGAAGAGCCACTGGCAAGAGCCATTGCTTGTAGCCGCAGGCAGACTGCAGCTGCCCCGCCGTTCCCGTTCCACCAACGCATCAGCTTAGGTGCTCTAATTAATTCGACAAATCCACAGGATTTGGGTCTAGGTTCTGGCAAGCGGGAGGGGTGCACACCGATCCACCAAACGACATTGAAGGAGTGCGGGCAGGAGACAAGGCATGAAAGGCCAGACGAGAAGCTTTTGGCACTGGAGGCTCCGGCATTGCGCTGGCCGCTGTCTCCTGGGCAGCCGTCTTCGTAGCAATGCGGCATTTGGCAGACGAGTGTGTCCGCCGGACGCCCTTTCGGCTGAGGTGCCCTTGCAAGACGGGTGGAAACCCCTGCCGAAAGGCAGTAACCTGCTGCCAGCCTGGAAGCAGTCAACGAAAACGCGCAAGTCTCGCAGGATTGGTGCAGCGACGTGGCATTCAACACCGAAGCAGCAGCCCCAGTGCCGGACGACCGTGCCTGAAAACCCACCCTTCGCATTCAGGGCACCATCGTGCACAAGCGATCGTGGAGCCACAAGAAGTCTACATCATTGGTGCAACATATCCGATCCCACAAACAATGCAGACTGAAGCCAAGTATCTACAGTAATCATCATAACAAAGTGAGACCTCCAAAACTTGCTGCCGAAAGAGCTTCCGAACTCATGATCGCAGTTCGTTTCCGGATTACGTACATAGCATGAAACTGCATTGCAGTGCATTCCACTGCATGTCTTTGCAGCACGCTGCGTTGTGTCGCACTGCATCGGCACACTACGCCATACACCACACATACACACACACACACACGTACGCCTGTGGATGATGTACTCCAATTTTCGTTGTCATTCTATCTGAAGACTAACTTCTTGATTGAAAATTTCGTCGAGAAACATATTCGACCGTGTGTACTAGATTGCTGGATGAGATGCATTTGTGCTATGCCATTGGTGGCCATTTGCTTTATGCTGTGGAAGATCTGTGCATCGAAGTGCATCTGCATGAGCGGATGCTGTTGTTGCTCGCTTCTGCTTTTTCCACTCGCCCAGGTCCAGGCGAGTCCTTCCCTACCCGAACCCGGTTGGCAGGAGCCTGAGAGGTTACCCTCACAACCACGGGAAGTTTTCAAAGCAGCGCGGCTGCATTGCTCAGGCCTTCGATGGCCTGGACGATCTCGAGGAGCAGAATCTTTGTCTCTGGCTATTGCTGCTTAAAAGAAAACATGTCCGTGCTTAGCACACAGGAAGAGGAGGAAGAGCCGCTCAACGAGACCGGAACGGTTCCGAAGGCGAAATGTGCAACGAAGCAGGTGACTCGCTCACTGTACTTCTACATCCTGCCCTAGGATCGAGCTTTGATACCTCGACCAGTCGGTAGCGGCTTTCAAAGTCTCGAAGATCTCTATGACAAGCATAGGCAGGTTTGATGCCTGCAGAAGAGCTGGCGAAGAGTGCATGGCATGGTCAGGGGTACCAAAGAGATCCCTGAGCTTGAGGAGGAGGCAATTGCTCTCGCTCTCGCATTGATCTGCAGACGGAGGGCTTTGTTGTTCAGGAGCTTGAAGAGTTGCACGTTGCTGCCCCGACACCTGCAGAAATCTGAGGTAGAGCAGAGCAGGGAACGCCCTTGCTGCAAGGTCCTGCTGAAAGATGAGATCCAAAGGTTTGGCGACCTGGGAAGAAGTGGCTGCCAAGTTCCAGAGCCATCGGCTTGAGGTGTCCATCGATTTCATCTGTTGCCTGGGCAGCCAAAGCGCTGGAGGAGTTGGAGCTCGAGGAGCCTGAATTGCATTAGGCAGCACCAGTTCTGGTGGAGATGGGTCAGGACGACGATGTCTTCGAGGTGATTGCAGAGAAGGTCCCTGCTGTAGCCTTGAGTGAGCCATCCCCTCACAAAGAAGTTCTTGAGGTGACGGATCAGGTGGACGAGCTTAGCCCACAGGAGACGTGCACCAGCAGTGTCATCAGAGCAGAGTGCGCGCGGCATGTTGGACATCTCTCAAGACGAGACAGCTCCGGTCGAGGAGACTCTGGACGTAGTGCTGAGGCCTGGCAGCTCACGAGCCATTGTTGTTTGACGAATGGATGTACGCTCGCTGTGCAGCTTCGGGGCGATCTATTACAACGATGACGAGTGCCCCTGGCGAAAGTCCCGTCTCATTTCATCGCGCTTGCACATGCTGACGCCAGGTTCTTGGAAACCCTCGTGGGTGCTGTCCGGAGGCAGATGAAATTCTTCACCAATGCTGAGGCAATGCTCTGCTGTTGAGCCGGGTTGAAACTGTTCCTTTGTCTATATTTTCTGGAAGGTCGTCCGCCTGGCAAATGCCATGTCGCGCCTCGGTGGGCTGGATGACACGAAGCACGTAGGCCAGGATTTCGGCAGTTCAGCCCGCCACGAACAAGCCAGAAGCTATTGTTCCAAGACAATCAGTATGAGAGGCATGTTCTTTGAGATGCGAAAGCGCGTCAACATGCCCTTGATAGACAAGGCTATCAGGCCATCCGATCTCTTCATGCCTCGTGCTGCCTGCGAGGACCACTTCAACAGAAGCACCAGCCATGCTGCATCCTGTTTGGCCCCAGAAAGGTCGTGTACCCTCGAGGGTAAAGCCGGGCTTTCGCCTGTGGCGTAATCCACACCATGCAGAAGGCCGAAAGGAAGGCCAAAAGAAACTTGCCATACCTTGGGTCAGCAAGATCAAAGGCAAAACACGAAGCATGGTCTGCCATGGCCTCGACGCAATGCGCCTTCCCGAAGGCCAGAGAGGCCTGGAGATGCGACGTTTCTGATGCAAGACTGTACCCTCGGCTCAGGCCCAGCCTTCGAGCCTGAATGAGCTGCTGGCGACTGTGCCTCGGGAAGACCGCACTACCATTTTCGAGTGTCTCATTGTAGCACCGCTCTTTAAGGCTCTTGGCCCCGCAGGCTGCCACAGAGGCCGATGAGGCGCAACGAGCCGCCGCCTTGACGCAAAGTCCAAGCATGCTGCGCAATGTTGGAAAGAGCTCAGACACCAGTCAGTGTAGAATCTTGAGGCCAGTATCATTTTTCAACATGCAGCCCACGGTCCTCGCATCACAGTGCCTCGGCGGCATTTGGACAATCTTGATGCAGGCTCGATGTACGTCTGCTCTCAGCATTACAGGATGCGGACCTGGCGCAATGCGACGAGGAGGCTGCAGAGCAGCTCCGCGCATTGCAGATCCTCCAAGGCGGTGGCCTTACTAGTGCCACGTAGCAGACGGTACTGGCATCGTGCGCATAGCAAGCGGCCAAAGAGAAAATTAAGAGCTGGTAGAGTGTAGAGACCGCACTCATTGCAAAGAAGTTTCGGAAAACCATACTGGAAAAAGCCTTCAGGTTCACGCGTAGCTGGAATCACGAACAGTCTTCCGTCTGCTTAGTTCTGTTGCACCGGCAGAATATCTGGGTTCTTCGACTGATGTGGTTTTCCAGCAGAGGTGTGCTGGGAGAGCGTGCACCCAGTACCGCTCCATTGAGCAGCCCCGCGCTAAGCTGCCAAGCGCCGCAGTAGGAGCACTGATTAAGAAAGGTGCTCCGAGTGGCCAGATGACTCTGACGTTCTTCACTTCCATGTGTTACGAGGGTCTCGGGATAGTCCAGTACTAGCGTTCTTGTTCGCTTCGTGTTTCGGCACGGATCTCAGATGCCATGCCAACCCCCCAAGTCGAGGTCAAAAGCAGAAGCGAGTCCACTGATTGCCCGTCCTAGCATATGTCTGGGTGTGAGAGCCAGGAGCCACCTCAATAGAAGACTTCAGAAAGCCCAGTAATCACTTCGCTACGGCCTGGGTTTTTTTCAGACCTACGCATCCAAATTTAGTGTCTGTGTGTGTGTGTGGGGGGTTAGAGTTATCTTGTAGGTGAGCGGCTCAAGGTCTGGGTTTTGATCGGTTTTGCAAGGTCCAAACTCGATTTGCAGAGCCCTGCTGTTGCAAGCAGTGGTGACTGTGTGTTGATTAGAAGGCGCTTGGAATTAATTGGTTGAATTTGGGAACTTCGAAAGAAATTGCTTGTTTGCCCTCTGCAGTTTCGTAAACAGCGCGGGGACCGTGACTGTGCCTTCACCTGCAGCGGTCAGGGCACAAGCGACGGGGAGGCATTTTTCCTGTCCGATGCGCCTCAGAGTAGGTGTCATTTGCACATGCCTCCTCTCTGTACGCTCCGGCTCTGGTCGCGGTGAGCCCGTGGAAGCTGCTGGTTTTCACGGATTACGGTTCGTGGTGCACAAAGGAACGGAAGGGCTCGGCGATCGTCTGCAACAGCTGCTGATGGTGCTGCGCTATGCGCGAGCCACAGGCCGCGCCTTGGTGCTGGATTGGAGGGATCCGAAATTCTCCCGTGATGAGGGCTTCAACTTCGAAGATTTCTTTCGTTTGCGGAAAGTACCCGTTTTCAACTCGAACGAGTTTCTATTTATTTGGCGAAGACTGCAACACCATCTGCAAGTGCGTCCGGCAATGTTTCGCCATCACCTCGACGACATCACAGAAGCTCACTGGAACTTCTTGAAGTTTCCAGAGAACAATACCCTCATGAATGCTATTGCAAACGGCGATGCAGAGGACTACAGCGAAGAGGTCGTCGTCTTTGCCGGCGACCAGCACCGGTACTACCACTACGAAGAAATCGTAAACCTGAGACTGCGCCGATGGATGGCCGACAAAGTACGTCCCGACCCAAGCGGTAAGTGCTCTGTAACCGAGCTGGGCTTTGTCCTGGGCGCGCTCTGTAAGTTCTGGGCGTTTTGCTCTGGCCGCTGCTCAGGTCGATACATGCTCCGGGAAGGACTCAAGAAGGAGGACTACGTGGTGGTGCACCTGCGAGGCGGAGACAAACCATGGAAGTGCGAGGCACGTAGTCTTCATGCGGTACCGCATGAGCTGCTTCTAGGTCCTAGGTGCCCTTCCCATCAATGCGAAGTCCGAGGAAGCCGCCACGTGGTTCTATAAGCCCAACGCGGAGAGATTCCAGACAGCCGCCAACAAGTGGCCTACGCTCGATGGTTACATTGATTACATGAAGAAGGAGCTAGAGCGCACGAAACTGAATCTGAGAGTGGTGGTGGTCACAGACACTCCATGCCGGGAACCTAGCTGGGTCTCTCAGAGAATCAGATTGAAGCTGTCTGTAGGGATGCCCTGGATGAGAGGTCTGAAAGAAAGGTGGAACGAGCTCTGCACAGGTTCGCCACTCAGTCTTGGGAAGACGACGACGGTCAAAGCAAGTTGCAGGTTGATGAAGTCTTTTTTGGTCGTGTCTTCTTACGTATGTTGCTGCTGCCGTCGCTGTCAGCCATCGTAAACCCCCCCCTCTTTGTAAAAGATGTCGATGCCGTCTGCAGCCAGCAGCAGGGTTGCATGACGGGTGCTTGTGGAATTTCCACGATGCTAGCGATATTTCGGCAATGCCACGAGCGTTGAGCGTGTGAAGGTTTCGCTTGCGAACATCGCTGAAATGGCTTTTTGAAGGGTGCCGCGAAGCCCGAAAAGCGGCCGCTAAACGCCTCGCAAGGAAATTTGTTGAAGCTTACGGATTGGAGCAGCGACGACTGAGCCATTCGGAACCGACATCTGGGATCATCATTTTCCTTCTGTTTTCGTCTGTTTCGGAGGATTCTGCTCACCTCAAACGCTTGTTGCAGCACCTTGGGCGATGGCATGTAGTTCCGGCCAGGAGGGCCAAGCCATAGACTTACGGCGCGGCGCGCGAGAGATGAGAGTCGACAACGCAGGCTCATAATGGTTAGGACAAGCACCCGGGCCCGGTCACTCCGTTCAGGCTCGCCGAATCCTGTTTGCGGAAAGAGGAGTGCGCATGTTGTGTCCCTGCCCTCGTGGATGGCCGATGCGTGGCCGAAGTGAGGGCCACAAAAAGACTGCTTTGGGGGCTGGAGCTGTGCACTGAGCAGTCTGCATGCCCAAACTACTGACGCGTTGAAGGTGGGAGCTGTGCATCGGGCTCCGTTCCGACAAGGCCAAAGCAACGGCAGCGCCGATTGATCGTTGCCAAGCTGTGATACATGCTTCTAACTGTGCTGTCAAGAAACTTGAGTGGCTCCGCTCATCGTGCGAAGCGTCCCTCCGAGGAAAATTCGGTGCTGGATTTCGCCTTGATGAGCAGCTCGACTAACAACGGCTTCGACTTTCCTCGGCTGCAGGGTTCTGGTGATATGGCCAAATCACAGCGTTGTGGTTTGCAACAGTTCTGGTTCTGCTTGGACCACAGGTATGGCAGCCCGTGTCACGGCAGCATTCCTTGTGTTGTGAGGCAGAATCCTTCCTGCAAGCTCTACTCGGCGAGTAGCCGCCAGTCGAGAGCCAGCTATCCCAGGCGTCGTTGGAGATGGACATTCGCTCTTTGCAACTTGTCCAGGAAATCTGGGCAAACGGTTCGCGTTTAGTCTGTGGACATCCATGACGTTTGCATGCCCAAATGAACCGAACGTTGATTTAGATTTGCTTTACTGTCATAGCAGGCAACTATGGCCGAGAAGTGTCGTGCCACAGGCCGGACTGCATGCGATGAGAGAGTAGTGGCGTGCACCCAAGACTCACAGGAAAGATGAACCTCCTGGGCCTTCACGACGAAGACGGGCCCTTCAGAGGCAGAGCCTGGAGACAAGACAAGAGCTTCCTCTTGAAAAGTTATTTCAAGCAAGTCTTCCCTTCAACACAAAGGCAGGCTTAACATAAGACGAGTTGATGCTCCGACCTTGCAGTCCTCCCTGTCACAAGTAACACTGCGCAGACAAATAGAAACCACCTTGTTAGGAATGCTACACAGGTGCTAGACGGAGGCGCTACGAGCCCTTCTCTTGCGTAGGATTCCATCGGGCGATCAAAACCGACGCTTGAAAAATAATGATTGCTCAGAATGAGATGAGACCATCGCAGTGACTCCGTCCTTCGCGGCTCAGCTTCGCACCTGACAGGATGGGATCCGGACGAGTGGGAAGAGCCGTGACCTGTACGCGGCAGCAGGGCATTTCCACAAGTCCAAAGAGACCACGAAATACTGCAAGAAGCCTCCGCAGACAAAGGGTTTGTCGAATTGAGCTGGCATCCTGGGGAAAAGGAGTGGCGACTGCAGTGGCATGACTTGCAGGATTTTGCTAGAATTCATTCGGTTTTCATGGCAAGCGTTCCGTTCGTGTCAGCTGTGAGTATTGACGTCGCTGCCTTCTGCACGCATCATGGTGATGGGGAGTGCTGGGTTGCGTAGACCTCCATGGCGTCGTTGAGTTGTCGAGTTCGGTTCTGCTGCGACAGGGCTTGGAAACCTCGGCCCAGAAGCGTGGAGAATCTCTCCTCGAAACGATAGTAAGCTTTTGGCTAGTGGGCTTGAAGTGAGGAGCGGTTTCTTCGTAAATGAAAACGACTTGGAAGCCTTGCACCAGGCAGAGTCGAAGCCCTGAAACTCCAGAGCCCAAAAGATTAGTTTACTGAAGCTAAAAGTATGAGGTGACCTATGGCT